TAGCTGGTCTTGGAATCAACAATTACATCCGTTGCCATCTTCGGGTCTGCCGATTGCTCAAGGAATATGGAGCATAGACCATCCGCGTGGCCAAGAACAGGGATCTTGGTGCTTGACTTGATATATCGAACTAATTCGTTGGAACCTCGAGGGATTACAAGATCAATGTATTGATCCAGATCCAGCAGCTGTGGTATCACGTCTCTCGTGGTGACGAGCTGAATAGCACCATTGGGGACCTTCGTCTTGTCCAGAGAAGCAGAAATGACCTTGGAGATGGCGATAAAAGATTCGGTCGACTCCTTGCCGCCTTTCAGGATGGCGGCATTGCCTGACTTTACGGCAAGGGAGGCGATGTTGGCGATGACTTCGGGCCGTGCCTCGAAGATGATGAGAAGAACGCCGATGGGGCAGGTGACTCTCGTCAACTCGAGGCCATTATCAAGTTTGGTTCTTAAAGTGATCTTGCCGACTTTGATGTAATTAGTTGAGTGTTCGTCTAGCTCAGCTCGGTTAGTGACTCACCGGGATCCTCAAGATTTCGGACGTCCAATATCCCTTTCAACATGTCCTCCCATTTCCCTTTCTTCCCCAGGTCCAACCTAGAAACCAAGCTTTGACTTAATTGGCCGCTCTCTGCTGCTATACGTGCAGCTTCAAGATCTCGGGCGTTAGCTGCGAGGATGTCGTCCTTGGCCGCAGTTAGGCCGGCGTGAATAGCTGTCAGAGCATCATTTCTATCGGACTCGGACAGCGTGGCGAGAATGTGCGATGCCTCTTTTGCTGACCTAGCAGCTTCCGATGGGGAAGCGTTTGTCAGAGACATGGCTTCTCACGATATCAAATTGAGCAGAGTGGCATGTGGCCTATATCGGAAGTCGAATAGCGTCAAAGTGTGAACGCGGTTATTGACGGTCAACACCGCTGTAAGAATTTGGTAGGAGGGATGGAGGGGCATGCAGCACTTGCAGCCAATTGAATTTGGCTGAGGCTAGCCAACAGTGGGGTCATCAGCCTCCAAAGCAACCCATGCAGCTGCCATGGGCATCCAATTTAGACCTTCACTCTTTGTTTTCCTGTAAAATATCATCCAATGAAGTGCGACACCAACGTCTCAACATTCCTCTTCACGTGTAATAGTTTTACATCCTGCTGTGCGACATTAAGATATCAACATCGTTTATGTTATGTCGTCCGGGTCGGGATGACATCTTCACTCTCCATCTCCGCAACCGGGCTGCGAGCTTTCCAAGTCACAATCGGTAGCGGGGTTTGTCTTCCGTAGGAGCAGGCCAATTCGGCGATAACCATCCAAGTGACGAAACGGATGGGGGTTACTGAAATATCACCTTGTGACATGACCTCAAGCAGGTGAATTCTGAAAATTCCGCTCTCGGATTTCCGTCTGATTGACAATTTGTCGGTTGCATTGACCGCTAGATGGACTTTCCACAAACGACGGCTGTCACCGCTCAAGCGGCTTACAGGTTGTCAATGACCAATTTGTCCAGAGTCTTGCCCCGTCCCAGGGCTTACACAGCCGGGACCCACGAGCTCGAGGCCAAGTGAAGCACATTTTAGGTCAGTTAATCATGGTTATGGGGGGTATGACAAAGTGGTTCGGAGATCTATGATTTCAGCATTAGATGAAATCTTTCCGAAGACTTTCCTAGCCGATGAATTCATGGACATGGATATAGGATGTGGTTACCTACCTAGGTAAGGTAGGTAGGTACCTAAGGTTAGTTATCTCCGATGTGAACATACATCGCATTGGTGTCCCGGGGATCGCCATGCTGCAATGCTCTGAACTACGCAAGGAGGATCAATCCTCCTGCCGGCTAAGGTCTGGCGTATCGGAACCACTAACCGAATGGAATCACTGACCCGCGGTCACGATCTCGGGTTTTTCGGCATTATCGCGCGCAGATGCAACTCCCGTCTGTGAATTCCTTCCCCACATAAGCTAACCAGTGAGTCGTTCCAACGGCTTCAACAAAGACGAGCTTATTTCCAATAAGCGTATAGGTCCACTATGAGTGGTGGTACTACCCTCGTCTTTCCTTGTCACCCCCTTGACGTTGACAATTTTTCTATGTTTTGCTCATTCACTATGCCCCAGCCTCCAAATTACACTATTTTAACAGGAGGTTTTCCGTAGCCTTGGCAGTTTTTCACGTCTTTGTGAGAATCCACTGCAGTACGGTTACGAAAATATATTCTATTTAGTATTTCATCGGCTCTATAACGTCTAGATACTCTGGTTTATATTCGACTCACCGATATCGGTATCATGATATCAGTCTAATATAGGTTTATCGAAGTGCCACTACTCCTCCAAGCAGAGAAACCCCCGGATATGGCCGTTGAGCCAGAGAAAGTGGACGAAAAATCAGAAGTCCTTGACTTCAATGGAGAACGCCCAGAAGATGAAGATGCTGCCGCATCTATTACCACAGCAAGCCAGGATGGGGAGGACAAATCCATAGACGCCGTCCCTGAGCAGCTACTGACCCCGAATGGTATCCCAGTCGATGAAGAAGCTGCGGCTACTACGCCAATGGACCGAACCAGGTCGCAAGCCTCGTCTGTTCGGTCCAGACCGTTGTCCATAGTGCCAAGGTTGCAACGACGGGGCTTCCTTGCACAATTAACGCTTGTCCCAGAGGTCGAGCGACCCTACGAATATCCGAATAAAGTCAAGTGGACGATAACAGCCTTCATAGCATTAGCGGCATGTGCTGCCCCGATGGGATCGGCCATATTTTATCGTAAGCAAATACATACTTTCTATTATGTTGTAGTATAATGGTTGGCACAAAGGAGCAACAGAGGACTCACGTAAACCATATTAGCTGCTCTTCCCGACATGTCCAAGGATCTCAATGCATCACCAACCGTGGTAAACTTGACAGTAGCTCTGTATATGCTAGCGATGTCAATATTCCCGCTATGGTGGAGTTCCTTTTCCGAGACTTTAGGACGACGCAATATCTATCTGTCGTCCTTCTTTCTAAACGTTGTTTTCTCCCTATTAAGCGGCCTCAGTGTTAATATCGGCATGCTGATCGTCTTCCGCATTTTATCGGGTGGAGCAGCAGCAAGCGTCCAGGCTGTCGGAGCCGGAACCATTGCCGACATCTGGCAACCCCGTGAGCGCGGCCGTGCCATGGGATATTTCTACCTGGGCCCGCTCATGGGTCCGTTGTTGGCCCCGATTATCGGTGGTGCACTCACGGAAGGGTTCGGTTGGAGGAGTACCATGTGGTTCCTCACTTCGTATGGTGCTGTTGTATTTGTGCTTGTTCTATTCTGCATACCAGAGACTCTTGCCAAGCGTAGACCCGCGGCGGCAGTCGAAGCGTCGCATGCGAATGACCTATCGCGCGTCTCAACCACACGCTCTGTGCAGATATACACCAAGCAGGCAGCGGTATGGTTGAAGCGATGCTTCCTTGATCCCCTTGAAGTCATCATGTATTTGCGTTTCCCTGCCGTAGCAATAACGGTATTTTACGCGGCCATTACTTTCGGGTCCTTGTACGTTCTGAATATCTCACTTCAGTCGGCGTTCTCGAAAGCGCCGTACAGTTACTCGGCGATCATTATAGGGCTGTTGTACCTCCCTAGTTCCTTGGGCTACTTCGCGGCGTCAATGTTAGGCGGCCGATGGATTGACCGAATTATGGTGCGAGCGGCAGAGAAGGCCCAACGATACGACGCCAACGGGAAACTCATCTATCTCCCCGAGGACCGTATGCGCGAAAATGCTTGGATATCGGCTACGCTATACCCTGGCGCGTTGATCTGGTCAGGTTGGACCCTGCAATACGGCATTCACTGGGCCGCTCCGTCTGTAGCCAACTTCTTTTTCGGTGTTGGTAGCATGCTTGTCTTTAGCGCTGCTACCACAATGCTCACCGAGTTCATGCCGCGGAGGAGTAGCAGCGGCGTTGCTCTCAACAATTTTGTGAGGAACATCTTCAGTTGCACTGGCGGTATTGTGGGGCAGCCCCTTATTGATGTTATGGGCATTGGATGGCTGATGACCATGGTGGGATTAATTTCTTGGCTAAGCGGGAACATAGCCATTTGGCTGCTAAGGAAGAATAGTCGGAAATGGAGGGAGCAGATGGACAAGGCTCTCAGTCAATGAGTTAGCTACGTCAGCTGCCTACCTAGGTAGGTATTTAATTTGTAAGAGGAGGGGTGGGAGCCCTTACTTTACGACATAATGAGACATGGCTTTTTGGATTGGAATCATTGCATCAGGTACACTCATGCTGAAGCAAGCATCATTGGTAGCATAGCGTTGTTCTGTTGGCATGAAAACGTTGCTAGCATCATTAGTCCTTAGAATATGTACATAATATAGGTACTCGATACATCAACGACACTGATACCCCCTACCCACAAAGACACCAACTGTACTCAGCGCTGTTTTCTACACTTACTTTACTTCTTCGGTGCTCTCCAGGGTAAAGAGCTTGCCCAAAGCATCTAGATTAATATTTCCCCCACTAAACACGATTCCCAGATCCCAACCGTCCTCCCCAGCTTCTCGTTCTACCATGGCCCTGAAATCCTCATTGAACAGCGCAACAGCCAGAGGCACGGCGGAACTAGGTTCGATAACGACCTTGAGGCGCTCATATGCTAATCGTAGAGCGCGCTTGATCTCGTCCTCGCTGACACTGTAAAACCCACTCACGAGGCGCCGCTCGTAGATGATGGACCATGGTACCTTGCCGACGGGCGTGCGTAGGCCGTCGGCTATGGTTAGGGTAGATACGGTTTCGACGCGGACGCCCGACTCGTAGCCCCGTTTTGCGTCGTCGGCGCCTTGGAAGGAGGGCTCGGAGCCGTAGACTCGGATCCCGGTTCCTTCGCAGGAGAGGGCTACGCCGGAGAGCACTGTGAGAAAAGATTAGGAATTCGTTGCTCATATAAAAAGGGAAGGTAGTAGGGGTTGAGCTGAAAAGAAAAAGAAAAACAAAATTCTGCCCATCCTGGGTTCGAACCAGGGATCTTCTGATTATTCTGTAGATAACAGTCAGACGCCTTAACCGACTGGGCCAATGGGCAGTTGATATTAACTATCAAGGCAAACTAGGTATATTAGGTATGGTGCAGAGATGCTTTTGGCAGGAGCGTTCGGATAAACTCCTAAAGCAGAGGTGGAAAAAGGGAAAGAACGACTCTGGGACTTTGGGTTGGTACTTACTACCGCCACCGCCGCAAGGGGCAATAATAGCATCGAGCCCCTTCTTCTTTTTCGTCTTCTTTTCTACATTCTCATCCTCCTCGGCCATCAATGCAACGACCTGCTCCTGGAACTCAAGACCAAGAGTTCCCTGGCCTAGAACGATGTCCGGGTGGTCGTAGGGAGGCACGAGACGGGCGCCGGTTTCTTCGATTACTTTCATGGTGACGGCCTCGCGCTCGACGCTTGTGCTCCCGCTGAAGACCACGTTTGCGCCGTACCCCTTGGTCGCGGCGATCTTGGGCGGCGCTGAGATGGTGGGCATTACGATGTACGCCGGTATGCCGTTGGTGCGCGCCGCGAGGGAGAGCGCTTGTGCGTGGTTGCCTTGGGCTGTTAGTTGGATGTTCTTGATGGAGGTTATGAGAGTATGATGGCTAGAGAAGAAGGCAGAAAGTGAAATTCATTTGTGATATAATTGATGGGTTCCGCGATTGGCTGGAGCTGTGGTTGGCATCACCTCAACCTCAGAAAGGGATTAATTCCGTGAATCTCGTTCACCCTGTGACTCCTTGTCCCCTGCTACCAAAACATCGTCAAACGAAGACAGATGGACTAAACCCTATCGAGGCCTACACTCCTCCTTCATGTAAACGACATCATCGTTTCTCGCCATCTTACTCATACTCAACCCACCAACCCCTGAAGGCGCTTTCAAGACAGCACTTAAACATCAAGTCGAGGAATACAGAAACAATCCCGAACAGAGAAACCCACAGCAACATAAGAAATCCTCAAAAACTAACCAGAGCTATGCGTAACAACGCCCCTCTCAGCGCCCCCTCCCGCCAGCCAACCCGGCTCCTTCTTCAACCTCTCAATAGCATGAAACGCGCCCCGAGCCTTGAACGCGCCGACCTTCTGGAAGTTCTCGCACTTGAACCAGAGCCTGAGCTTCGGCTTCGCCTTCCTGCTTTCCCCCTCCGAGCTCGGATTCGGTTCACTAGCTAAGGCTGACAGTGAGGAGCTGGTGATCACGGGTGTCACGTGCACGAACGGCTTGATGAGCTCCCGGGCCGCGATCACCGAGGCCCGGGTTAGCGGCGGCGATGTTGACGGGTCCGCCATTGTAACGATAGTGGGCGAGCTAAGCTGGAGCAAGTAAGAGGACTAGGCAAGCGAATGAATGAAGTCTTATTGTCAATCAAGCGAACAAGGGCCCAATCCAAATCCTTCCCGAGTATTCCCAAGCACAGCAGGTTACGCTCAGAGTACGACAGGAACTTAGGTGGTTGAGTCTAGCCCTAGATCTAGACTCGCACCAGTCAGAAAACTACGATTTGTTATCAGGGTCCGATAACGGAGAAAGCAGGTACACAAGATGAGCATCCCAAGGACTCAGAACGAATTCATAATACTTTCCATTGAAAACTCGACTAGCGCAACTTTTGGACCACACCCATAAGATCCTCGTGAGATGATTTTGGGGAATCCTGAATACATGTACAAAGACTAAGTTTTTTGATCCCCGGGGAATAAATGCCTTCGCCGTTTAGCTTACCGTCCCGATAATTTTAAAATTTTAAAACGCCAAATTGCACTTATTTTTGGTTCTCGGGTCGGAGAGATCTGTAAGATTAAAGAGTTAGCGTTGATGAAATACCGGGGGTTAACTCTGGGAGTGCTAGAGAGAGAGAGAGAGATCCATACCTTACGGCCTTGCCGGCCTTCCAGATCTCCATGTTGCGAATCTCATCCATCTCCGCCTCAAACTTCTGTCGGTAGTCCTTCTGGCTGTTGTATTCGAGCGATCGCTTGGTCTCAGTACCATCTCTGACAGAGTCGTATAGCTGGTTGAAGACGGGCTTCAAGGCATCCTTGAATCGCGGGGTCCAGTCAATGGCACCTCGTCGGGCGGTGGTAGAGCAGGCCTCGTACATCCAGTCCATACCGTTGGCACCAATCAGGGGGTACAAGCTCTGAGTAGCCTCTTCAACAGTCTCGTTGAAGGCCTCGCTGGGGGAGTGGCCACGTTCTCGGAGAACTTCGTATTGGGCCAAGAACATACCGTGGATACCACCCATCAAGCAACCACGCTCGCCGTACAAGTCGGAGTACACCTCCTTCTCGAAGGTGGTCTTGTAGAGGTAACCACTGCCGACGGCAACACCGAGGGCCTGTGCCTTCTCCTCAGCCTTACCAGTCACATCCTGGTAGACGGCGTAGGAGGAGTTGATACCACGGCCCTCACGGAAGAGAGATCGGACAGTTCGGCCAGAGCCCTTGGGGGCAACGAGGATGACATCAATGTCCTTGGGAACATCGACCTTGGTGATGTCCTTGAAAACGGGGGAGAAACCGTGCGAGAAGTATAGGGTCTGTGAATTATCAATATTTGCCTTCTGATAGGATGACTCATACTAGCGCACCTTGCCCTTGGTGAGCTGGGGCTTGATGGCAGGCCACGTCTCGCTCTGGGCAGCATCACTGAGCAGGTTCATGATGATGGTACCCTTAGAGATGGCCTCGTCCATCTCGAAGAGGTTCTTGCCGGGGACCCAACCATCCTGCTCAGCATCCTTCCACGATTGACCGTTCTTTCGGACACCGATGATGACGTTCAGGCCGTTGTCACGGAGGTTAAGACCCTGGCCGTGACCCTGCGAGCCGTAGCCGATGAGGGCGAGGGTGTCGTTCTTGAAGTAGTCCTTTAGGAGATATTAGTCGCTGTCCTTATATAGATATTCCAGGTTAGGTATCAAAGCCTCACCAAGAGCTTCTCCTTGGGCCAGTCGGCACGCTCTACAAGACAGCATTAGCTAATATCGCCTATATGACAACCAATTGAACCTACCATAGACCTCCTCGGGCGTTCCAGCAAAGTCGATGGTCTTGACGCCACGGATCTGTTGCTGGACAGCACCAGCGAGGGCAGGGCGGGCCTTGGCGGTGGTTCTGACGAGGTTCGACGCAACGACGAACGAGCGTCTCTGAACGGCGGGCGAGGCCACTCGGCGGGCCAATTGGCTACGAAGAGCCTTAGAAAACCCTCTAGAAGCCATCGTGGAGGATATCTTGAGTGGAGATTGAGGTGAAGAGGAGGTTCGAAACTCAATGGGTATAATTAAGTTCTATAAATGCGCCTGGCTCTCGCGAGTCAGAGAATTTTTACACTTTTTTTTAATTTTTCCAGGGTCTACGGTAGCTCTGCCCAGACTTCGAACAGAGCTTGCTGTGCGACTTCGGCGGTGAGTCGAATCAACTAAGAGCCCACAGCCAATGGTGGGGTAAAATCGCCGGACCGGCCAGCAGAAGTGGGCCTGGGGTGCATGCGGTAGCGGTACAATTGACGCCGTTGAAACTATCGGGTTGCGTGCTAACTATCATAGTATAGGTACTTATCTGACGACATCCCTTGCGAATGAGAATGGCGAACATTGGACAGGCACCGTTTTCAATAGGCGGTGACATTAGAGTTGTAACGTCCATGAGGGCTCCAGCATATCTAAATACTATCGATAACACATAAAAGTCAATACCTGTTTGAACAACCTTAAGAAATTGTAAGATGGAAGTATTATGGCATCTCATTGCATTTCATGTGTCATTACCTGTCTAGTGTATACGGTCAGTTGCCGTCTATGCAACATGTCCTGTCCGACCGTCTAAGTGCATTGCTATCTGATTTACAAGATAGGGACGACGGTAGCGAAGTATTTTCCTTCATGCCTCGAAGTAATGCAGTCCCTCAATAACGCCTTGCTATGTGCCATCTGCAAAGCCACTCCAAAGCTTCACTCCTTTCCATTATCTTCCTCCGAATCTGATGATAGGAGCCTATCAGTAGGACTGAATCACTGTGACTCAGGTAGGTTTTGCATTGTGCCAAGTAGGTGATGTCGACAAGCCCAACCAGACTAAACCATGTTCAGTCGTTGTGAACAGACGGAGTGTCGCATGTCCCTCAGACTCTGCTAAAGATCACGCGGTCGTATGTGACACCTCGTATCGAATTACCACCCATAGCCGCACGCACGTTTCGCCGGAAACTCTCTCGGCTTGATCGCAGGTCGTCCGCGGCCTCCTGGTTGAGAGGATCTGAGGCATTCGGTTCGAGGAATAGGAATTGCAGGCCGACAATGACAGCATTTAGGTTGAGTACTGGCTTCCAGTCCTCGCGCAGGATATTTAGACAAACCTTGCCTTCAAGGTCGATATTGGGATGATAGATCTTCTGCTGGCAGCGCACCTTAGGGGGCTCGTGAGGGTAATTCGGATCCATGGTGAATGTGAAGGTGAACCGGCCGCCGTGGTAGATGCCCTCATCGGGAGTTATCTCGAGTATGAAGTTGAGGATATCGTCCGGGTCAGGGAATATGGTCTTCATCGTCGAGCCTAGGGATAGTTCGGAAAGGTCTGTGTTCAGGGTAAGCTAAGCCATTCAGTGGTCAACAGTGTTCAATATTTCTAACTGACCTTTCTGCACCCGCAGTTGGGCAGGCGTGACCTTCTTCTTCTTTCCACCGACGCCATCAGCGTTTTCGGCCTTCTGTTGGGCCGATTTCTGTGAAGATGAAATTAGAGCGTGTTATGCCATAGGCTGCGACTCAGAGTTGGCTCACCATAGACCATATTTTCAGCATGGTGGCGGGTGTTTGAGAGGTTATCGAGTACAAGAGTAGGATCGAAGGTATTCTTAACGTTCCTGGCGGTAGAGAAGAAGTAGAAGACAATGTGAGGAAGAAATGAACGGAAAATGTATGGCAAGTAGATTAAGGGAAGAAAAGACTACCGCGCGGTATTTATGGCGGTGTTAGACACTCAACTCCAACAGAGCTTTAAGAGAAGAGACAAATATTTAGTAAAGTCTCGCGTGATAAGA